AAACCAACAGTCGGAATACAGTAGGACATCACAACACACCAGCTGAAGCACTGAAGTAACACAGTGAAGCAACTGCAAACATGCTCCACGTTGTATTCAGAAAGATATGTGAGGAAGAACAAGTGACACTGACAGACTGGAAAGAAGGACACCTCATCAACATACCAAATAAAGGAGATGTGAGCAAGTGTGAGAAATACACAGGCGTCACACTACTATCACTAACAGGAAATGTCTTCAACACAGTGTTACTAAAACGGATGAAAGACTCAGTAGACACCCAACATCGACATCAACAGCTCGAATTCCGTTAGGGTCGGCCGTGCACAAACCAAATCGCGACACTACTCATCATTGTTGAACAATCAGTTGAATGCAACTCGTCATCATATATCAAGTTCCTTCACTCTGAGAAAGCATTTTACAGTGTGGATAGGAGAAACTTATGGGAAATTATTCGACATTTTGGTATGAGTAACTGAGAAATCGTCAACAGCATACAGAATTCATACGACGAAATACACTGCACAGCCGCGCATGGAAGACAGCTCACCGACACATTTCAAGTGAGGACCGGAGTCAAACAATGCTGCTTACACTCTACCTTTTCCTTTTTTATGGTGGTTGACTGGATTAAGGAGACCTCCACATCTGAGGAAATGCACGGATAACAATGGACAGCTTGAATACAAACTAGACGATTTGAACTTCACAGTTAAACTAGCCCTTCTACCTCATAAACACCAACGAATCCAGGTGGAGATATCCAGTGAACCAACCGTGTTTGCATTAGTAGGCCTCAATGTAGACAAAGGAAAAAGCAGAATCCTCAAACACAACATAGAGAGCACCAACTCAGTCACACTTGATAGAGAAACTCTGCATAGCATTATTGATCAACAAGGAGGATCCGGTGCAGATGGAAAGAAGCGGATGGCAAAGCACAAGCAGCATTCCTACAGTTGGATAGCATATGGAACTCAAAACAACTATCTGTAGACCAACATCCAAGGTGAGAATCTTCAATACGACGTCAAGACACTTCTACTGTACGGAGCTGAAATTTCGAGAACTACTAAAACTATCATCAAAACGTCCAAGTATTTCTAAACAATTGTCTACGCAAGATACTCAATGCCCGTTAGCCGAATACCATCAGCAATAACCTACTGTGGGAGAGGACAAACTAGCTTCCATTTGGAGAGGAAATTAGGAAATGACGCCGGAGGTAGATAGGACGTACATTGCGGCAATCATCAAACTGCATCACGAGGCAAGTGCTAACTTGCAATTCTGGAGGGAAACTGAAGAGTGGGAGATCAAGAACACATGGCATCGGGAATCAGAATCAGATATGAAAAGGATGAATAGGAACTGGAAAGGAATGTCCGGGACCGAGTTTCATGGAGAATGCTGGTGGGCGGCCTATGCTCCTCTACGGGAGTTATCAGGCGTAATGAAGGAAGGAATTGAATATCAACAATCGAAAATTGCAAATACTTGTAGAAACAATTGTTATTTATTGTTTGCTCGGATCTTCCCATTTATGATTAGGACTAAGATAGAACAACCTTTTCTGGCGTATGTACATCCTGTGAGGACTGTCTCGAAATCGCTATTCAGTCAAAATCATAAGCTCATATAATTGACGGCTAGTTGTAAAATCTTGGATGCGCGTTCTCTCGTTCGGGACTCGTTATCTAGATGTACCTTCATCCCAACATTGATGTTCACCACGGGACTCGAACCCAGTACATGGCACTTCGTACTCCACCGTGTTATCCGCTTAGCTACTTAGTTCAGATAGCCATTTGCTTGTGAGATAGGGCGGATTTCGATCCATAAATAACCAATGAATTAATAATAACCCTATGGTATAAACCAGAGGCTTTTCTAAATCAATAGCCAAGTGGACAACGCGATGGTGCTTGATATAACGTGTACTGATTTCCGGTTCCGGAGTGAACATTAACTATTGCATACAGGCACATCCGATCGAAAAATTCCAAATAAGATTCCAGTGCCAGCCACCGACCAATCGCTATTGATAAACTATTAATACGTTTTAAGCAATTTGAAAACAAAAATCCCCATTATTTAAAAGTAAGAGGGTTATTAAGTTATCTTTTTCATTTAAATATAATTTACACATGAAAATTATCGTCACAATAATCAATAGGGAATTGTAGATAAACTTTAGGATGCTTGAATCATAACTATTATTATGTTAATATTATATAACAATTTTAATGATCTTTTTAATTCAATATGTGATGTAGTGATTAACAATGACAGCGACAATAACAAAAATATAGTTAAACAAAGTTTTAAATTAAATTCTAACCTTTAACAACTGATGATTCAAAGACTGATACTAAAGGTATAAGGGAATATCCAATGAAGGAATCTGTTGCTAAAGTACCTTGTGATCGATCGAAAAATTCCACTTTCAATGGATTGTCATTAAGACGAGTTTTTAACTAAGATTGTAGTATTAAAATTTTTTTAAAAAAAACACTATTTCAATAGGTCTGTAAATAGAAATGAGTATATGGTTTATTTTTATTAAAAGACAATACATAAATAGATTAACAACTTGATGTAGTCATAAGTTAATATTTGACTTCATAACAGTTGGATAACGTTAATAAAATGTATATCCTATTTGACTTTATATTATCTCCATAATAACAACGTAAATAAAACAAAGTCGAAAATGAAATTATTTGAACAATGTCTATTTTAGACATTCGATAATGTAGGCGACGATAAGAGATGAAGTGAAATTACAAAAGCAACACAAATAGTCAACCATGGTATTTAATAATAGACATGTTAAATGAACATAATTGTATATTCAATTTAGAATACGATATGTGAATGAGCATATGACTGTCAAGTGAATTAATTCAATTCTTTTGGTTAATTTGTTACCAATTTTGTGAATAATTCGAATGCCTAATACGTGAATCTATTATATCTAGTACCATGTCAAGCCCATATGTGTTACTTTAGCTTCTGAACAGACCAAGTTATTTACTCTTCTTCAGTCACATTTTAACCTTGTCAATCACTAGCTTATTAACCTTGACTATTTTTATATGAGAGTATGTGTGTATGTCACTTATCCAATTCACACATATCAAGCTTATGTTTTTCTGGCTATAGTTGAGTTACGCCCTACAAAAGGGAGTTGAAACATTTGCCTTCTGCTTTTTCATTTTCGATATCTGTTTGGGTAAACGAGTGTATGAAGTAAATCATCCAACCCGATTTGTATTTGGCTTCTTCTTAACGGGGTTAACCTAGGCGTAATATACGAAATTGAATGGAGGGTTTATATTCACAGCATATTTATTCTTTGGAATCGGAATCAGATCAACGGGCCACTAAAAATCTTCCTTTGTTTGGTTACCCAACCATTTATTTGTTCATCATATTCCATCACTATATTGGTATATAAATGCTTAAGACATGCTTATTAATTGACACTCTGGAAAGTTCGTATTCATTTCAATACAATGAAGATTAGACCAGTCTAATCCAGCTCTGGATTTATTTTACTACAATACAATTAATTGCTGGTTATTCTTGCCAGTATTATTTCTATTATAGTATAATTCCTATCAACTTTCAGTGCCAGTAACAATATAAATTCAATTCAGTTACAAAGAGACTTATTTCTGGTGTTTTTACAATACTAATATTATTTCAGTCCATCTGTTTCCATTCAATCCAATTACATTTTGATAGTTTATTACTACTGTACACCTCAGTGAATGTAATTACTGAAATATATATTCAGGAACACTTATTCTAGTTCTTACTTAATTCATTTGTCCTCAGTCATCGATGATAAATAAAACGTATATAACCAACTCAATTTAACCAAACGTGACTCCATATTTTTAGTCAGACAAACAGGAGAACGGAATAAATGATAGACACGCACACACGCTCAGACATACACCCATAAAAACAACCGAGGTAGCCAGTGTATAATTGACAATGGCGAATACATGTGTACATAATGACGCCAAAAAATCAGATTAATTTATCTGTCTAAAACTCAGAATAAATCATGTAGTCGTGTAACAGTGAAGGAGCTGCTACGTTAGTTCCACCAATCAATAATATACATTGACTGAATTTCCGTTCTAACCATTGAAAACGTAAGTGTCTAAGATCATTCTGAAGTCATCATAATCCTGATAAGATCATGTGATCACTATTTACAACTATCCGGTCACACATAAATATAAACTGCAATGTGAATTAAATGTATTTACTTGACAGAAGACTACTAACATTAAGGGAAATTAGTCACTTTATTAGTTTGTGTTGTCAAATAAATCCTTCAAATTATAATGATTGCTAGGATCAGTGCTTAACATTTAGTCCCAACCTTACTAATTTCAAAAGGTTGAAGTAATTAAAAGTATTTTGCCATGCTGTTTGGCATTTTATCTTGAGCATATAATTATTCATACACGTTTCCAGACAAGTCAACTTAGTTATTTTATCAACTAACATTTGCACATAAAAAACACTCTCATATTAGGATCAATATTTTGTTCTTCCTTGACAATGACTGACTATGGTGATGATGAACCGCTCGAGTAAAATTAATTGGGAAATAATCTGCTGACAATGAAGTTTGTCATGATCTCATTAAAAGGTATGGGTTACTTTTGCTTTATAAAATCACTTCGTAAGTTTTACTCTACACTGGTGGTTCTTTATATAACTTCCTTATCATTACTGAATGTGCAAATTAATTGAGCTCTGTTCTACAGACTATGAAATTTTGGTTAAATTGTATAACAGCTCACTATTCCTAGTACTTGTCCTGTAATACTATGCGGATTAATGAGATTTGTTTTACATTCTATATCTAATGCTGACATACATAACACTGAGCTGTTTAAGGAGGTAATTCTTAAAGCGAGTTAGTTTTACGAACTGATTAAGTTTGAATGAATTTATTTGTAGCTCCGAATTACGAAATCTTTCGGAAACTGGTCTGTCACAAATAAGTGACATCTTAATCTAACGCAGACGGTTTCTGACAATAGTTTCTTTTGAAAGCCTTAAAGCAACCGTAGACTGAAATTGTGACCTTCTAGAGCAATAAGAAGAAATAAATAAGTCTTATATGGCTATTAAAAAACTTGCTTTAAATAATTGTTCTGCTACCAATAAGCCTTGGCAACAACACTTCAGCTTAACAGATTTATACAATTCCATCTACTTAGCACAAGAAATATCGAAGTTGGTTTCAGACTTAAACATTACCTAAAAACATTCATGAGTGTTTCATGTAGCTGTTGACTAAACATCATCGGGATTATAAGTAAATGATCATCTCTACCGGAAAAAAACAACTAATTCAGTCTGCTGTGCAACAACTACATACAACTGATGGGTCCCTCGAAATGTGAAATATGCTGCATGATTTCCATTACTAAATAAAAACCTCAGATTCAGTCCTGTATATGGATTCGAAGGGTAAATAAAACTCAAGAGATTACTCTGATGTTTTCTTTACCTTCTCGTTTCATTTTAAAGAATTTACCACAGGATTGAATAAAGTACAGTGGTTCGAAAACCCTATGATAAAATATACTCTAGAAAGATGTCTTGTCAAATACTAGGTGGAAATTTTACGAAGATAGACACGTATAACTCAAACCAGCTTGGTAAACCAAAATACAATGATTTCTTCATTAAAACAAATCTTACTTCTTCAGGCGATGCAGCAAACTCGAAAGCACAAAACCCATGCGGAAGAATAACCTCTTGATTTCTGGCTACGGCAATCGGTGGAAGTGTCATAACTGGGGCTCCACTTCCAAACAATGGATATACATATCTGTAAGATCATAAATAAGGGTAGGGAAAAAGGTATTCAGCACTGGTGAATGCTTTTAGTGAGATTGTATTCCCTAAACCAGAAAGTTTAAATGCTGAATTCTCATCGTCTAAAACAAAGATGATGAGCTTCACGGGACTAAATTCAACCAACTGTCAGATGATTTTCAAGAATGTGAGTCAGTATACCTCAGTCAGGGAGTTATCACTAATATACGAGGTCTGAGATTAATAACATCTGTACGACAAATGTTTGATAAGTGCCAAGAAACTTAGCTTTAATGTTGCTAGTCGATTATCTGCAACCAGCTAATTGCACAACAAAGGTGGGGTGAAATATTGGGTCAATCAGTTTGACTTCTAGCCATTTCACAAAGTGGTTAACAGAATTTTGTCAGCACTAAGAATAATTAGCAAATATTATGTGTTAAAATCAGTTGTAAAGTTTGTAAAGAATTTTTTATGCAAAACTAATGGAAAAGGAAATTCACACCAGAAATTATTAGGTAACTAAATACGGAGAAAAAACACCTGAAGCTCTTCCAGCGTTACTGCCTGTCCCAAGCCCATACAAAGGAGGAAGATTGGGTATTGGGTCAGAATTCCGATCCCACATGAAACAATCTCGCTGAAACAACAATAACCACAAAACACAATTTAAATTATTTCAACTTGTTCCTCCGAGTTCAAGCATCTTCATTCAGAAGAATTATGACAACTCATGGTAAACACCCAGATTTTTCTGAAGCCACTAGTCCGATGCCCTTTATAACAACCACATCTTGACACTGCTCGGAATAAGTGAGGCCCATTGGAATCAAACAGAACACCAAAAGGCTAGATAAGGGTAAGATGTTGCTATAATCTGGTCACGAAGAGGAAAATGCACCACACACTCAGAAAGTTGCTCCGATGCTGTTCATAGAAGCACATAATGAACTCACAAGATGGGAATCTCTTTGGATCCACAATCATCAAAGCATCATTCAAAACAAGGAATGAGGGAATCACAATGGAATTTATTCAATGTCATGCACCCACCGATGATAGCAAAGACAATGATAAACATCACTTTTACAAGAAGCTGCAACTGAACAGAAAGGCAGCAATTAACAATAGCTGAACAAGAACAGAGAACGTCGAGGCACTAGCTAATTAAACTGAAACAAGAAGGCAAGTGAATAGGAGCATAAGAACTGACAAGTAGAAATTTATTTGCTCAGTTATTTATTTACTTGAACACGTAAACATTGGCACAAGTGGGCACCAAATTCATATGAGACATACAATAACAATCAGGTCATTTGTAGTTATCATTGATTGGCATCAAGGCTGTTATGTTGTCCGGGTGCCCAAATCGAAGCACGACAAGCATAAATACGTGGAACACCTACCAATGACAAAGGAAAAAGCTGTAACAGAAAGAAATATCAAACAACTATATGATACAACGAAGAAACTGGTAGGGAAATATAGTAAACCAGAGGGACCAGTCAAGGACACGGAAGACGAGACAATCAGTGAAATTCAAGAACAGAGGAACAGATTGGTAGAGCACTTCGAGGAACTCTTGAATAGGCCAGCTCCAATGAATCCACAGACATCGAAGCAGCACACACATCTTTCTATAGATGTCACTCCATCAACGACGGACCGGAGTCAGACAACGCTGACCACTCTCTACCTTTCCCTTTTTTCTGGTGGTTGACTGGATCTCGGAGACCTCCACATCTGAGGAAATGCACGGATAACAATGGACAGCTTGAATACAAACTAGACGATTTGAACTTCACAGTTAAACTAGCCCTTCTACCTCATAAACACCAACGAATCCAGGTGGAGATATCCAGTGAACCAGCCGTGTTTGCATCAGTAAGCCTCAATGTAGAAAAAGGAAAAAGCAGGATCCTCAAACACAACAAGGAGGATCCGGTGCAGATGGAAAGAAGCGGATGGCAAAGCACAAGCAGCATTCCTACAGTTGGATAGCATGTGGAATTCAAAACAACTATCTGTAGACCAACATCAAAGTGAGAATCTTCAATACGAACATCGAGACACTTCTACTGTACGGAGCTGAAACTTCGAGAACTATTAAAACTATCATCAAAACATACAAGTATTTCTAAACAACTGTCTACGCAAGATACTCAATGCCCGTTGACCGAATACCATCAGCAACAACCCACTGTGGGAGAGGACAAACCAACTTCCATTTGGAGAGGAAATTAGGAAATGACGCCGGAGGTAGATAGGACGTACATTGCGGCAATCATTAAACTGCATCACGAGGCAAGTGCTAACTTGCAATTCTGAAGAGAAACTGAAGAGTGGGAGACCAAGAACACATGGCATCGGGAATTGGAATCAGATATGAGAAGGATGAAAAGGAACTGGAAAGGATTGTTCAAGACAAAGTTTCATGGAGAATGCTGGTAGGAGGCCTATGCTTTTCCACGAGGGTAACAAGCTAATTAAGTAAATAAAGAGAACAAATTATTCCTGATTAATTTATTTGTCCTTAAATTGATTAAGTACTGTGTAGTGAACTCTGTCATGTTTATATAGTTCTTTCAGTGATGAACAAATTCTATCAAAGTTGAAATATAACCACTAGTCCAATTGACTTACCATCGCGTGTAACATATTAAGAAGCTAGGTGATTGAAGATACCTAATATTATCCATGTTTTTGTTCGTATAGTAAAAAGATGGATTCAGATAGAACTATTGTGATCATTCTAGAAATGAAGAGCTTTTTTGAAGATTTATATGACCTATATTACATAAAAATAACTAGTATTTTACTACTTAGTTTCTTGACGTTATAATGTTTTTCGAATAGCAAACCAACCACTTGCTTACTTATCAGTTAGTGTACTCTTTATTTGTTCAACTAAATTAAATTAGTCATTTTTGCTTTTGTCTTTAATGACTTTCAACTATTATTGCTGCTTTTATCAGCTCGAATGCAAATTTATAACGTGAACTAATTAATTAATTACTGTAAAACTATTCATTGAGTTATGCATAAATAAATTCCGAGAACTAAATACAGTCTTCTAACTTAAACAATAATAACATCAATTATCAAACATTTAGTTCCATAATATTTTCTGGATTAAAGAAAGAAAGTTGGCGATACAACTAAATATCCCCCTTAAAAACAGTGCAACTAAATTTTTAAAGTTCTAGTGAGTATATATACATAAAATCTATTTAAGCTCCTAAAAAGCAGCAACCTATTGATGAGTTGTATAAATTCCTTTGATTGGAAAACTGGATAAAGACAATTATAGCAAACAATAATCACCATCGTTACAGTACAATCTCTTTGTGAAAAAAATCTCTCTTCCCTCTTTATGTACTTTAGTAAGTTGCAATGTTAGTTGACAAGGTGTTGTATATTTATTCTTTAATTAATACATAATTTCGTTTGTTTATGACAATGCTGTCTTACCTATAAAAAAAGTCATTTTTTAACAAACTTAGTTTCAACTAGCTATTAAGTTGACATTAAAACTATAATGGTATAATGGGAGTGTTTAAAAACTATCTAAAGCCCTCATTGTTTAACAGTAACAACATTACGGAAACCCCACTAATTATTTAAAAATATCAGTAGTGTATAGTCGAAGTCAAATAAAGTTTCACATACCTGGCGTAAAGTTGTAACTCATGGTCGAAACCTTGAATATTTTTTACACTTCTTAGTTCAATAGTGTAACAATAACGATGCCAATTGGGTGTACCATCGATTGACTGATAAACGTTCAGCAGTTTTGATGGACATAAATAGTCATCACGTTCAAGTGTTCTACTGGATTGTTTAAGTGTTTTTCCCTGTGAAGGAATTTATCCCCAAAAAAACGTTATCTTAGCTTTAAATACACGTTATAGTGTAATTATTTGTAACGTTTTATCTTAATCTTGGCGTATATTTACACAATCTTAATTGAGAAAAAAGATAAATTGAATGCATTAGCCCCTTACCTAATATGAATAATTGTTTGGGATAGCCACAAAAGTTCTGTTATGTTGAAATAAAGCCAAACGTATGTACAGAACAATACATATTATAGTACTTTTTAGATATACATGCTCACATTCAAGTACAAGTGTATGATTTAGTCAATTTTGTTGCACAGAATACTATATGAACTGATAGCCTGTATGAGCACGTTCATCGAAATTCGTATGTACATTTTGACAAAAAGTGGTGGCCAAGTGCACAGAAGAAATTAAATGTAAAAATTGCATTAAAATAATCTCTGATTAAAATCTACATAATTCTAAATATTGTTCACTCAAAAGAATAACGACTGTAACTTATAAGCCACTGAGTTATAACACTATGGAAGTTTCAAAACGACGCTGAGATTGTGTTATTAGTTATTTCACTAAATCAAAGTTCACCTAAACATACTACATAAGATGAAGACTAGAGGAAACGAAAGTTAACAACGGATGGTCACATTAAGGAATTACACAAATCTATAAAAACTGATATAATGTTGAATAAGATCTTTAATGAATTATTGAGGCAATCAAAACCGTCAGTTAAAAATTCTGAATTCCAAACAACACATATTGTGCTACGCCTTATTCATTTCATATCATAGTCCTCTCACAGATGCTTCTCTTTTCATGTTTTAAATAAATGTTTATATGATTAATTTTCATCGCTTTGTACCTATTTTCATTGATTGCTGTTTTGTATACTGTCGTGAAGTATTTACAATTAAGCTTATACATAACTGTGAGAAATGTAAATGTTTTTCCATTGTCTATTATAATACTACATTGACTGAATATTTGTGGATCAATCCCGTGGTGATGAAAGCAATAAGCTTCCAGTTAGTAGGTCTTCAGTTCGAACCTAGCCATTCACTTATTTTGGTTTAGATATTCAGTTGGTATCATGTATCTTCACACAAATGATATAAATTAAAGATGAGTACATAAATTGGTGTACTTGGTAAGTAAGTTACATGAACATAGATAGAAACTGATTGTTTCGTATGATTTAGACTGTCAATATTTCTGAACCAGTCAGTAAAGCAATTACTCATGTAGAAATTTATCTTATTAATCAAGTTTTTAAGGACTAAAGACACTATTTAGCTACTGGATCCGAATTACATACATCGCAGTTCAAGTCTTTAACTAAATGATGGGCAATCAAATACCTAAACCTCTGATTGAACTGATCTACGGTGAGCAGCAAATTTCTACAAAGACACTAAGAGTATACTGAGTGGTTGAGCTAGTGAAACTATACACATATTTAAAATATAGTCAGTAATAATAATTAAAAAAGATACAATAATAGTATTGGATGCTTACCTCCGGTAACGAAGTTACAAACTGATCTATAGGAAAACACACAAACAGTTATTTATTAAAAGTAATAAATGAAATTAACCTACCATAATTTTCATTTACATTCGAACTCATTGTATTTACATCTGCATATGGATCGAGATTCAGTGAAGAAATATGATTCAGTGAATCTGTCATATTGCGCAATCTTCTGCTACTATTATTATTTGTCATGGTCGATCGTTGTTGTATTGCATTTTTATCAGGGTATCGTCGAAGTGTTATGTTTATATTGACACGTGGTTTATCTTCAGTATGCTTACTTTGATATTCTTTTAATTGTTGGTCAGATTCTTCGGATATAAGCTAAAGAGAGAAGAAAAATTAAAATCTGAAATAAACTAACTCAAAAACTTTAATTTTAATTACATTAAAACAACAATAATAAGACTTGAGATAACGACTATATACTAATAAAAAGGTCACAACTTCTGAGATCATCCACAAACACCAGTTTGTAAGAAAATAGATTGGGCTAGAGTGAAGACGAAAAGTTCCAAAAACTTTCATTCAGCGATAACAAGAAGATAACATACTTGCAACGAAGCTACTTGAAATCGCATGCCCAAATAATGTGGAACGTAGTAAAACAACAAATTGTAACTCATAAATAAGTATGTAAAATAGGACAAATGCAGAAATAATAATTTGTTTTGTTAAACGCAAGAAAATACTGGGGATCCTAGTGAATAAAATACACTTCCAATCTGTTTATCATTTTAATGAAAAATGGTTTTAAATTAAGAGATATTACTCTCAAACTGAAGTCAAATGAAAAATTATTGGCTGCTAAACGACCTTGAAGGTTTTTCCTATTTTAGCTGGTCATGATGTAGAAAACTTTAATAGATTATTTGTATTCATAAGTAAAAGTGTTTTGATGTCAGTGTGGTGTGTGCTACTGATGTCAAAAGATATAAGTAGTATGTATCATGCATCGAAAGTGAAATGACTGGTGGCAGAAGGTTAAGAAGATCGAAGAAAAGAGAACGAGAACAGAGAATGATCGCTGTGAAAGTGAAGGAACAATGAAATCTGAGACGACTGATTAACATTTTGCAAATGAAGTATTTAGTATATGGTTCTCAGATTTTACTAAGACGTAGTATAATTTATGTATCCAAATACATTCGATAGTCTCCACTTGTGTTCTTGTTCTCCACAGTTGGTGATAACTTCTTTTCGAAAAGCATTCTATAAATTAACTTGTACATACGGCACTATAGAAGTCTTTTTCATGATCATTATATGTACATAAACAGCATTGCGAAAAGCTCAAGAATAATTGTGTGAACTTTTGTTATTGAGTCGGAAAAGTTCCGCTGGTATATTGCAGGTTTATGAGCTTATCTGTGCTAAGCAAACTTCGATTCTAGTGAATCATCATGAAATAGTGTCAGATGAACACCCATATTATTTCAAAAAATTATTCTTAAGTAAAATCTAAATAATCTCAACTTCTTGCATTGGTTGTAAAAATGAATGTAAATTCGACAATATTTAGAAGGGAGATTTGAAGTGAATATGTAATAAAAAGTAAGTAAATAAGTCAATGGTTTCTTACACTAATTGCTAACAAAACTGACTAATTTTAGCTGCGACAAGAGTAAAATATTGAGTCTTACGTCAAAACTTCTATTTAATACAGCAGTATTCTGTAGTATATGATCATTGAACGGTATTAGTTGTTCTACTGGAACAGTTGCATGTGCTAATACATGACTTCCAAAACAAAATTTGATCACTAATGGAGTAATATGCACAAAATAAATACGTAGAATATCAACTGTTGATCTGAAATGAAAAAGAAACATACGTTTAGATAGCACATTGAGGAATGGAAGTCACCTCACTACTGATCTTAAAAGATCTCAAAAAAAAAAGAAATGGAAACAGTTGTTTGATTATTAGAACATTGTTAACTGCTGAAAAAGTTTTACTCAGAAGGTTCTCAAAATATATTCACCAAGATTATAAATATTAACAATTAGTCTTAAAAGTGAATTAAAATCTACGGGTGTGAATTATTTAATGCTTTATAGACTAGGCGACTCTGATTACATTATTAATGATTTTATTTTCTGACAGGGAAACAAATCACTCTGATGACAGGGAATAATTGAGTCATTACTGTTGATTAGCGCTTGTAGTCTTAAGAGAATTAGTTCAGCTAATTATACATATAGTTGGGGAACATGTAATTTTATACATATGAATGTGATCTTAAAAACTGAAAAACAGATTAATTTACGGTAAAACGATTAAAAACAATCAGAACAAAATCCTAAACCTATATTTCATGTCGATTAACCCAGACAGTCAATTGGTCATGTTTTTGAATTTGAAACAAGGTGAAATGGATTTGAATTGTATAAGCACTAGTCATTTTCAAACGGTTACCAAATACGTTTTGTTGAAATGGTGTTAAAGAATATAAAACTTCTGTGTAAGGCTTATTGTAGTTTCTGTCAACCGTCTCATATTTTAAAAACAGTTCACGATCATATTGAATCAGTTAGCATGGCTGTGCAACAGTTCGCTTCATTCTACTCTATGGCTGTGAATCATGGTTCATTAAGAATAAAGTTTATTTATAGGTTACCAATATTTGATCATAGGCGTCTTCGAAGCATAGTCTGGGTATTTTAGGATTACCGAGTGAGAAATGACGAGGTTAGGATAGTATGTAATGACGGTAAATCGACTGATAAGGTAGTAAGTTTTCATCAACTGAAGTGGTTGGCATATGTGTTACGTGTGCCCAATTACAACCTACTCTTATGGGGAATGTTGGCTGATGAAAAAGTAGACTGAAAGCTAGGGGTGGGCAAACCAAAACAAGGCATCAGTCCATTGAGTCAATAACAATCGGACTGAACAATGTTAACAAGTGTATACTACTAGCTTGAGGTCCGCGTGATTATCGTACCTTTGAATAACATGGCTCAAAATCGTTTGGAATGTCGAAAATTCATCCAACCTTTGTCTTATTCAGATCCAAAGTTTGTAAATGTTCCATAAATTTGATTTTATCAATCTATATTTTCTTCCGGAATTTCATCTTCCATCCCAAGTCCGTTCTTTTACCATTGATTATTATTGAACTTAGATGGTACTCCGTGATGAGTAAATAACTTCACTAGTAGTAAATTGCACTGGGTAAGTCATCATTGTTATCACATATCAATAAATACTTCACAATTTGACAATCATAATGTTTCATACTGTTTAATTTTTTTGCTAAATTGTAATATGTTTCAATCGTTGTCATATATTTTAGACATTTTATTTATCATTATGGGGATCTGTGGAGATTGTAGTATTTTAACACTTAAATTCTTGAGGCAGTCCCTATAATGACAATAATTATGTGCTCACTAATGACTAGCTTCAAGCTGGATTTCCTGGAGATTTTGCTAGAAGCCGTGATCAGTGGAGTTCAATCCGTGTCGGATGGAGACAGTTATCCACTTCGGACAATGGATTAAGGGTTGCACAAGATCATGGATCGATTGAAGTTAGACGTTGTCACCACTGGATACCGGCTCAGTGGTCTAGAGTTTAGGCATTCGAGCGCGAGACATAAGGACCTGAGTTGGAATCCCACGTGCAGGATAGAGGACGCACACTACTGAAGAGCCCATAATAGGACAAAACGGCCTTCCAGCGCTTCCAGGTTTTCAATGGTGGTTTAACATAGATTGACTCGTGAATTCAACTGCTAAAATATATTTTATTTAGTTTTATGCAATAAATCCCCATTGCCGTTTAAGTGAATTAAACCCTGTAGCACTGTAGCATAAATTCTTTTACTTTATTTAGCTAGAAATCAGAGTTTAATTCGTGAATAAAACCAATCAAAGTTTATCATGACTAAATATTTTCTTTTCACATAAAAAACTCACTTAATATAGAAAGTTTGTTCGATTGGATTGAATTTCACTTGCATTAATTGACTAAATTGATTAGAGTAAATTGTAATACCAAATAGTTCACATGTAAAATGAAATCCACCAATATGTTCACCTGAACATAAACTTTGTTCAATTGGAATTAATGATTCTAATTTAAAAGCTTCTTCAAACTGAAAAGTTAACATAAAATATTCTTTTGCTAAACGCCTTGGACCAATTGTATACCAAGTGATATTTGTTGATTGTATATTTGCCATTGTTGTAGGTATTGAAAAGAGTTGATTGTCTTCTTCTGAATTATAAACACGAGGTATTAAATCAGCTTCTGATAGGCTCATCGCCAAACCTTATAAATTTGAAGAAAAAAACCGTCTGAATTATATATATACCGGTACTTATCATCGATTAATGATATAACCCCACCTGTAACTCTCCTAGGATTACTGTCGGTCCCAAATCCACACAAAGGAGGAGAGTTGAGCAAGGGGTTAGCAACTTCATCCTGTAGAAAACAACCTTGCTAAAAATATGCCAACCAGAATAATCAATAGTATGAGGATAATTTTGAAGATAAAACTTTATGACAATTACTTATGGTAAATATATGTTGAAATAAATCGGATATATTGTACAAGGTTGTATACATAATGCATTTACATGTGCATGTATGTTCATTGTAAAATTACCAATATATACAATGAAATCCCTAACAAATAAGTGGAAAAACAGAATTATATAAATTGATAATACAAGAAGTAAAGAAAATGTTGCAAAACGTTTTTCAATGTAGCTCATTTCTAGGTATAGATTTATTTACTCGGTTTTGAAACATACTTTTGTATGATGGCTGTGAAGATCTCCAGTCGGTGGTCGATGTTATGTGAAGTATTAACAGGTTTAAGTAAATATATATGGATTTATATACCCAAACCAAAGTAGTTGGTTGAACCAGGTTTAAACTGGTTGCCTACTAGTTGAACCTCGTTTTGGGACGAAATAGCGGTTCAATATCTTTTAACTTTCAACGATTACCTAACAGAAGTCGCTCTGCGATGTAAAACTTCAGATTTAAATATTTATATCATTTGTTCTTAACACGAATTCGTTGTAGGCTATGATCCTATACTTCATTTTTAATAGAGATACAGATATGAAATGTCAGTAATTAATTATTTTCAAAAGGTTTAACCCAAGACTAAATACAGTAGTCAGCAAAAAATCATAAAATTTGTTGTTTTTACTGAAAATCTTATTATCATAGGCTCATAAACTTAACATGACTTATTTGTTAAAACTACAGAATATCAACGAATTTATTAGATCTTTGCCCGAAATTCGAGAGATAGTGACCCTCACCTTGTAACAGTTAAGTGAAAATAACCTGTATCTCGTTTCTTGAGGTGCTTGAAATCGAAAAATTTACTTGTTGTGCAATAATACAGTGAATGCTACATGGTGTTAAGCTAAACTAAATGAAACAACTGCTTTTAAAGTATATTTTATATGAAATGCTTATTATTCACTGTCTGTATTCGATAAGATTCAGATTACTGGTAAGAATGTTCGTGTGATCTACCATAGTCAGCGTTGCCTAACATTTATAAACAGTCCAAGGTGACTTTAAAGTTTTAGAGTTTTCAATTCAAATATCAATCTGCATAAGTTTTGACCAATATAGCTTACAGATATTCTTCCAATTTAATCTCCATTACTTATCCTAATTCTTAGCTTTTAAAGTTATATAAAAAGGAATACCGGAATTCATGATCGAGAGAAAGATAACAAGCAAGTTCATCTGCGCCATCGTGAATAACTCTAACCCGTGTCACCCAAACTCTGCAGCCAATGAATACGGTTATCGCGCCGACATCAATCAGGTAGTCCGAATTCTAGACTTACAATCAATCAGCCCATGGACTGGCATCAAGTCTTGGTTTGGACACCCTTAACTTCCTTTCAGCTCACTCCTACACCAAACAACATTGACTATTGAGGTTGGCAGTAGTTAGGTATAATAGCATATCCAAATTACTTTAGTCGATGAAAGTTCTACGTTTGTCGCGAGTCTTTTAAAAATATTACATTAAAGAAGTAAAATCTAACATAAATCAACAAATAATTGCCTAAAAATCTACTAATACTCATAATCAAACCGCAACACAAACAAAATTGACAACTGATTACCTGTTTTGATTTTTGGATTTGGAACAAGTTCTTGTCCTTCAATATCTAAATAAATTGAAGCAAATACAGCTGGACTGCTTTTATATTTACTATGCAGAATTCGATACCATTTGTAGACCTTTTAAAACACATTAGTAAAGTTGTATGAGTCAAGATTAAAAGAATATTCACTTTTTCAGTAGAACATGAACGTAAATCTAACATGAAAAATCCAATTGGTTCTTTAACTGGTGATTGGCTGTCAACAGCGGATACCGTCACTTTCAATGCACTCCGTTGTAAACGATGTTGTTTTAAACTTGTTTTATCTAAATCCCAAGCAAGTTCCTGTTCAAATTGGGGTTCTTCATTATGTTCAACTGGATCAGTTGATAAAACTTCATTATTGAATTTGGCTTCACATACTAAATGATATGTAGGTCGATTAGGAAAGTTACGACCTTGGAAACAGAGAATCCGTCAGTAACATTTGAGTTGTTTAAATAGGAAGTTTTAAGATTATATAAATGATAAAGTTAATTGTACATAAACTTAAGACCACATGGCTTTTCAAAGTATTTGAAAGATTAATTACTTTATTAATCCACCCAGCATGCATGTATGCCACAGGAAACTGAAAATTCGCGGTCCTTAACACCAACAACGGAAGGACTCGAATCGTCACAACTGCATTGTTTATTTTTTAACTCATATTTTTGAATTCACACTAGTACACTGTTGAATAGTTTTGATCGTATGATAATTGTGATTGAATAAACTTCAAAAAGTTTATTTTTATTAGCATACTTCTCACCTCTAGATTCTAATTTAATTTAAATAGAGTGAGACGAGTAAATTACTACCCTTTTTCATAATATCACTCCAAAATCAACATGCTAACCAACTGGACAAAAACTTGTCAACTACTAGAAACCAACGTTTTAGACGGGCTTTTAAACGAAAAACTCACTCAAGAAACTAAGTTAGTAGCGTATATTAATTGTTTCGTTTTAAGTAATCTATGTTAATAAAGAGCATTTTCATGTAAATACATAACGATTTTACGACATAAATTTTGTGTCAAATTTACACGTACCATCAAAAAATATATAATCTTTGAAGCTTATTCTTAAGAGGCCACAATGGTTAAGAGAATTTTTTTCTAATTCTGAATAAATTAGCTTCCAGTGATGGATAATAATCTTACACTACGCCGCTTTTATATTTCTGTAGCAATATAATTTACTAGTTAAAAAATCTACTAACAAAATTTTTGATTTTTAAATGAGTCGATGATAAAAACGTATGAAGCATGGATGTCAAATGTAGAACCAGGGAATAACCTTGTGTCCGTAATAAATGTATATTCATTTTTAATAATCCATGTAGCTCAAATATAGATCTACCATTTTATCGAAATAGCACTATTTTAGAAACTTTTTAAAGTTATGTACGTAAAAGAACATTTAACAAGACATTTTAATTACGAAATCAGTGGTTTAAAAAACCAGTTATTTAATATATCTCTTCACTTTCCCCCCATATTCAATAGCATTTTATCTTAAGGAAGACAAACCAGAATTCAGTGAATTAAAACAGTTATAGTAGTAGTTACTGATCAGTGAAACGCCAAGGAATTTTAAAATTAGTCCTGTTAATAAACTATCTCTTTTTAATTTACACGTTTCTAGATGTGTTTAAAGTAATCCATTTTAGGCTGTTATAAAAACTTGGAAATTACCTAGTAGTGTGGTACGCAAGAGCTTAATTTGTTGAAGTTCGTACATTACATAAAACAATTTTTTTCAAACATCTTTGAAATGTAATCACACTTTAAGAGCAATCATATAATTTATTAAGTTTGTTATATATTTTGGTTATAGATGTCGATAATATTCTGGAAACTACTCCGGTGGAACGAATTAGTGATAGTGTAGAACTGTCACCTAAAGAGATAATTCTTGATCTGCACTATGTGAGTGATATTGTCTTACTGTGCAACGATACTCAAGTTATACAAATTGCGACTTGTCATTTGCCAGTCAGTGTCCATAGCTACGGCAGGTAATCTCTACCTCCCAAATCCAAAGTGATTTTAGAAAACTGAGAGGAACTTGTCCTTGAACTCACCCTTGATAGTGAGCCATCGGTAGACGATACATTTGTGATTTAGTGGCTGTGTGAGTGCTGGTGGTGGTGTGACTTATTAAATCAACTTACATATAGTGAATGCCAGAATAGCTAGGGTATTTTTGGTGCCATTGTGATGGTGATCTACGATTTGTTGGTGATGGTAGAATCACCGAGTCAGCAATGTTGAAACTAGACATGGAGTAATAGGCAAAAATAGATGACTGGAATTAGTCTGTGACTAATACACCTGTCAATCAAAAGAATGCCCACAACAATTGCTTTATTTAGAATAGTGACGTGTTGATTTGATATCTAGTATCCAATAATCGATAGTACTCTATTTCAAACCTTGGCAGTTAAGATGCTTTATTTGAAAAGATTTTCGTTTGTGCACATTTGTAACGTTTTTTTTCTAATAATTTTAGAAGCACTTTCCCCGTTGATCTCTATACTTCTTGTTGTTTGTAAACCGTGACAACTTAAATCAACACATTTGCTATCATGTCTCATGTCGCTTCTGTATATCTATTTGAGTTGTCCATGCATGCAATGGGCTTAAATTGCAAAATGCATTGTTATTAACATTATATAGATCTTTGGGACGTTTGTTATAAAATAAGGTGTCTTTAGTTGGTGCAGTTTAAAGACTTGTATTCCTTACTTACTTAGTTAGGGCTATTACCCTTCGTAGAGGAGCATAGGCCGCTAATCAGCACTCTCCATACAACCTTGTCCTGGGCAATCCTTCCCACTTCTTTCCAGTTGCTATTCATCCTTTTCATATCTGCTTTCAATTCCTGATATAATGTGTTTTTTGGCCTTCTTCTTTTCTACTTCCCTTCCGAATTAAAAGTTAGCGCTTGCCTTGAGGTGCTGTTTTATGATTTCCTAAATGTATGTCCTATCCACCTCCAGCGTCTTTTCATGATTTCCTCTTCAGACGAAAACTGATTCGTCCTCTGCCACAGTAGGTTGTCGCTGATGTTATTCGATCAACGGACATTGAGTATCTTACGCAGAAATATTTGTATGTTTTTGGTTATGGTTGTAGTAGTTCGTGAACTTTCAGCTCCGTACAGCAGAACAGTCTCGACGGTCGTATTGAAGATTCTGACTTTGATATTGGTTGACAGTTGCTTCCAGTTTCATATGTTCTTCAACTGTAGGAATACTGCCTTTACTTTGCTAATCATTGCCTGCACATCCGCAACAGATCTTCCTTGTTCATCGATGATGCTTCCAAGGTACGTTAAAGATTCCACATTTTTCGGAGCATTTCCATCAAGTGTGATTGAGTTGGTGTTCACCGTGTCGTATTTCAAGATATTGCTTTTTCCAATGTGCAAGTTGAGGTCTACTGATGCAGATATGGCTGCTTTACTGAATATTTTCACGTGCATTTGTTGGTCTTTATGGAATAGAAGGGCTAGGTCTTCTGTGAAGTTCAAACCGTCCAGGTGCATTCAAGCTGTCCATTGTATTCCATGCTTCCCCTCAGATGTGGAAGTCTTCGTAGTCCAGTCAACCACCATCTATAGGAAGGTTTTTAGATGCTGCTTTGATGTCCGGTTGATTCAATGGAGCTATTATATTCAAGGGTTTCTCAAACTGTTCTACCCACCTGTTCTTTTGTTCTTCAATTTCAGTGATTAACTTGCCATCTTTGTACTTGACTGGTCTCTCTGGTTTACTATATATCTTGTTCAATGTTTGCATAAAGATCCATTCTTTATGATGATGCTTGTTGCGACCAAACGCCTCCTGGCACGTTGATGTTAGTATTGCTCTGATCCCTTTCTGATTGTTCTCCATAGTACTTTGTTCTACTTTCAGTAAATCCTGTAACGCTTGGAACCCGCTATTGAAAGTTATGTTGAATTGGTTGAGTTTGTTATTATCTCGTAGGAAGGCTGTATTGAACCTTTGTAATGCTTTTTCCCCGAGCTGTCCAGATTTTCTTTAGCTTCAGTTTCATCTTGACCACAACCAGGTGGTGATCTGAAGCTATGTCAGCCCCTCAACTGGTTCTCACGTCCTCCATTGACCTTCTGAATTTTTTATTGATACAAACATGATCTATTTGGTACTCCGTGGTGTGGTCCAGCTAGACCCATGTAGCTTTGTGTATGCGTTTGTGAGGAAATATTTTGTATCGTATAACTAATTTGTTGAATGCACATAGGTTTGTGAATCTCTCCTCGTTTTTGTTTCTCTCTCCAAGTCCATATTGTCCCATTACATCTTCATACCCGGTGTTGTTCATTCCGACATTGGAGTTTAGGTCTCGCATCCTGATGATCATGTCGTTTCTTAAGCACTTCACTATGATTAGTTGAAGCCTTTCATAAAACTGGTCTTTATCGTCGTTATTGCTATCATTGTTGAGTGCATAACATTGGATAACATTTATCATGATTCCCTCCTTCGTTTTGAAGGATGCTTGGATGATACTAGGTCTGTGAAATTCCCATCCCATAAGTTCATTACGTCCTTCTTTTGAGAGCATCAAAGCAACTGCCTGAGTGTGCGGAACGTTTGCTTCCTTGTGAACAAAGTACAGCAGCATCATTCCCGAACCTAACCTTTTCTGTCTAGTTTTAGTCGATTTTGTTTCACTGAATCCGAGCACCTTCAAGTTGTATCTCATCTCCGTTGCTTTTGGACTGGTTCTCCCAGTTACCCACATGACCTGGACATTCCATGTACCTATATTGATTGTTTCTGTGGTTGCTGGAAGGGCCGCCGGCCTCGTGACTTACGAAGAATCTTAGCCTCCATCACGAGACGTTATAACTCTCCCTTCAACTCCCAGGGCAGAGTTGAAATAGTTTAGTTTGTTTATTCTGGTTAACGCTTCTTAGCAAGATTTTTTCTACGGGATGTGGTTGCTCACCTCATATATATATATATATATATATATATATATATATCCTTAACACTTTCGGACATCCTCTTAAACACCTACTTAGCTCCAACACAAATCTAAGGGGTAACACCCAAAAACTAGAGACACAACACAGCAGAACGCATTGTAGACACAACTTCTACTCTTTATGAGTTGTCGAATTCTGGAATTCATTGTCGGCTGAGCTAGTCCAATCGACTACCCAGGAGTCCTTTAAGAGAAACTTTGATCTATTTTTAAGGACTAAGGATAATATCTTACTGTGATTAACCAGTAACTTTTTACCCTATTAACGTTAATATACCTGGGTTCTTGCCTGGAAGTATTATGATCCACTGATACCAGACACGGAAGACGTTAAGCGAAAGCTTCTTCTATTCTATTAACAACCATTTGAACCAGTCATCGACGATGAGTTGACATTACTCATTCAAACGGCTACACCTACCGTTTTACGGACGGAAAACCGGCTATGAGTTAAAGCTGTGATACACATTTAATTTCACAAATAAAACGGGTAGTATACTGAGAACAGATGCGAAGATTTAATTCTCAATGTGAAATCGTTTGTAAACAAAGGATATTTAAAAGAGGATCCAAAAAATTTTTGAGGCATCAAAAAATTAGCTATTAATTTTGCTTACCAAAAGTAATAAGTTTTGTTCGAACATACAAAAGATAGAACATTGTGTACTGACTAAATGCTCATACTTGAAAGCAGAGGGACAATGTTAATCTTTGCAATGTTCTACAATTTGCAGTACGAAAATGAACAATCCACTTTTAAATTTAAAAATGCATAAAGATATAAAACGAAAATAGGTATTTAAGTAGTATGTTACCTGTGATTAGTGCAATAACAACTAAACAACGGTCTTTCAACTGCATTTCGAATGATAAAATAATAGTAAGTTATCCCTGTCAACATCATTTGATGCGCTCAAACAAGTCGACAAGCAGTAATAGCTTGCTGGTGACATTTAAAAATATTTTGCCGATAGTGATTGTGCGTTTCTGGCCTTATTTTGAAATTCGATGCGTTGTATCCTATAAGAATGTGTACAGAAGAACGTAGTCTGGCCTACTCGGATACATTGTGGTTTGTCAGTCCTGCGTTCAAACCGGATACTGGCAGTTCGGTCGTTACAATCTGTGAAACAGATTCACATTTAGGTATGTATATTAAGGACAGAAGATCCATGGTCTATGTTAGTCCTTTTCTAGTAAGCTTCTATGAGTGTCTAGTCTTCTATTGAATGAATCGATTGAAGGTGCGGTAACACTGCTTCGGGTAACAGGATTCAAGAATCAATGATCCGGTTTGGAAACCTGTATTCCGCTGGTCTTTTGCTCGTTCTTGGCCTTTTCACTCGTCCACTATGTCCCTTGAGTTGTCCTTATCTGGTAGGGAGAAAAAGAAATCATACCACCCCTCAATCTGAGGTAGGACAGAGTAAAGGTGTCCATCTTTTCAAGACACCCTACTTATGGTAACAGCCGGTGTCTGGCACTGTGTGTGTAGCTGCCCTCTGTACTTTTTCTGGAATATCCGTTCAAACAGGGTCTGGTACCTGAACGAAGTCTCAAGTATGGATCTCACTACGGTTGTGTATACCCTCGTGAACATATTAGTAACTAACTTGTTAAATATCGGTTCTAAAGCTCATGGGGTTCTGAAGCCCTTGGGTGTGAGATCGAGGCAGCAGGGCTGTGATCTTGAGGTCGTAACTTACTGTTGTTCTAAGACCATTGTGAGACCACACTGCGGGCATTGACTCTTCAACAACCCTATATCTATTCACCCATATATCCCTTACATGAGCGTAGACACATTTACTGCGTTGATGGGCATCAGCCATTTTAGATCAGCTAATTAGATTATCTAAGTCTTCCCGAAGCGAAAATGTACTTCGTCAAATTTTCATATAATCAACGTCTATTAGTATCGGGTGCTCAACTGCACTTGAGAGTTCATTTACATACCGTGTAGAAAGTGGAATACTTAAAACAGAGCGTTGAGGTTCTCTACTAAGTATTGTTTACCACGACAAGCACTTGAACTTTTTCTTCACTTCCTGTCTACGACCTATCAAGAAATCATCAAGCCATTTTAGGGGAGATCTGTCAATGCCCAGATTTTTCAGCTTCAAGAGTATTTTGATGTTGTTCATGTAGACAACATCCACTGATTTCCCGTTGTCCAGAGCTATCATCCATTACTCGTCTGCTATTAAACGGTTTGTTGTATATACTCCGTTATTAGTACTGCTCTAGTAACAAACCTAATCCTGAAATTGTAGATCTATCATTATGTGACTACTTAATCTCTGAGATATATCGTGGAAGCAATATCGTCGTCTACACTGATTCGTCCTACGTCTGGAGAACACATTTAAGCTGGAGATAGAACAATATATTTAACATGAGTAAAATATATAAATTACACAAGAATGACCACTCCTGCAAGGCTGAGCCACGCCATCCGATTGAATTGAATATTTCCGCATTTTCGGCTTTTAACCTCCTCTTTGTGCCAATTGTTGAATACAAATCTTTTTAGTAATTATATGCTCATTTTCAAAGGGTACGGTCCAACGCCACTACACTACTCTCACACAAGATTCAACGTGACGT